GTGAAAAACAGCGATCGTCCGTTGGATGGTTGTTGTCGCCGTTAAATCATTTATTACCTCTTAAGGCCGTTAAGTCAAGAACTGTGGTCTCTCTGAGAGCCGACCGATCGCTGTCGAGATCATGACATCTTTTAGAGCGCCTTCCCACTCCGCCACGGCAGCGTGCGTCCTTCAAGTCTCGCTACGCGAAGCGGAGGAGGGCGTACCCGCCACAGCTAGCGGAACACAGCTTTGAATAGTACTAGGCTTCCCACTGCGGCCGCCGGTCGCTGCGTTTTATCTGCTGCGGTCCCTTTGTTTGTCGCCGGAGGGTCGGCGAAGAGCCCTGCCGCTTGACGGTCGCGCGCTGCCGTGGCGGCGTGGGAAGACGCCTTTAGCGTTCTCAGCTCACCCGATTCCCGTCCCCACTCCTTTCGCAAGATGCGTGAGCTCTGTCACGAGTGGAGCGCGAAGCTTTCCATAGGCTCGTTAAAAGAAATCAGAACATTCTATCGCCCGATCTCTGTGATTGGGTTAAGGAAATTGGTAAGGCATACGCTTGGCGCCCTTTAAATAAATTCAGCGCGTGCACTCTGCTATCTGAAAGTGATCGTCGCACTTTAAGTGTGACGGCATTTCCCCCCCTTATGATAGTGTGACTCCCAGGTTGCTTTACATAAATTGACGCCCAACTTGTGTGGTTACATTACAATACATATAGTACAATTAATTGGAGTGCTGTTTGAAAAACTAATGTCAGTTTTCCAGTTTTTTCAGCACTTATTTCAATATTTGTTGACGTCGACGGTACAAATTTCAATGAGTGCGCTGAATTACGGCTGCACCGGACCTTGTATTGTTAGCTGTCGGAGGCGGCTTGTTCTTAGGTTGCACGGTTGCACAACCCTCAGATAATAAAAAAAGATCATATATACGTTAAGATATATACATTTTCCTTATAATGAATTCAAGGTATGTCAACAATATCAATGTACATGAAATTATTTTGAAACCAAAGAGCGCACATCTAGCGCTCTCTCTGCCGTGTGGTATTCTCAGGTATTATACCATGTCACGCTCTTGGCTCTACGTATTACAGCATTTACTTTTTGGCCCTGCGCTTCCCAATGGGTAGCTTTTTTGTCACTGAGCGCTTCGCAGCGTCCGGGGGTAACACTAATATTCTGTCTTCGTCTGACTAGCTGCAACTTAATTTTAAGAATTTTGCGTGTTATTAAAAGTACATAATTAAGTCCATTGTTGCAAGTATTGAAAGGATTATTTATTATATTTGGAGAATTTGTTTTCATTTTTATTAGGTTTGTTAATTCAAAACGTACATTTGATGAGTTTTTTGTGTAAAGTTGGCCGATAAAAAAGGAAGTCCCTTTCTGTCTCTCACGGTGAGTGCATATTTCCAGCCACGGTGGCAGCTAAGTTATAGTATGAAAGCGGTTTTTGTGAATACGAGTGCGAGACGAAGATATTCATTAGTACAATATATTTCAGAGTAGTGTAATTTTCGAAATCAAATCATTTTATTTGTGTAAAACGAGTTCAAACAAGTCCTTGTTGCTAAGTGTTAGAGAGCGATCACCGTATTTTCGAAACCATATAATTTTTTATTTGTATGAATTCTCTTATCGTTAATTGTCTCAAAGCATAACTAATATAAAAACTTGAATACTCACTGGAAAAGCAGATTACGCTAAACGACTACTACTACTAAAAATAATAATAATAATAATAATAATAATAATAATAATAATAATAATAATAATAATGATGATGATGATGATGATATTAAAACAGTACAACATATCTAATATGGTAGCCACTTCATCAAATTTAACAATATTAGTACATTAGTATGCATCTTGTATTTTCTCCGCAAGTAAAAGGGCAATATTTCATTTCCCGCGTTTACTTACGAAGGTTGGAGACGTGTGTCCATGGTCGAAGCATATATAATTCTCTCTGGGCTGCAACACACACTTATAAGAAACCTCTGAAGAAAGCGCGAACACAGACGTTATCTTTTGTAACATTATGGGCCTGCTTGCGACCCGTGAAGTCACGCAGCAGCCACGCACGTTCAAAGTATTGTTGGCAGCAGTTTGTGCTTTAGTTCTTGTACGAAGGTATGTAACAGAGAGCGCCACCTAATTGTTTCCACCACGTTAAATGGGAGTTGTAGGGCCCTGGTTGAATCACTGGTTAGTATTTGTCAGGGTAGGGAAACTTGGCGGTCAAAACGGGGTAATGATTTTTGCGCCATCTACAACAGTTC